CCCATTCCCTGTTGGGCACAATTAGGCAGCAGTTTGAGAAGGGGTAGTAAGGAATTTGTATTCTGGCTGAAATTTTACCTTAGCTAGCAATTTAGTAGGTGGCCTTAGGTAAACTACTACCTTTCAGCTTCAGCCACTCATCTGTAATTTAGGGATAAAAATACTGGACAAATTTACAGGGCTGCTGTAAAGATTAAGGAGATAAGGCATATGAAATACCCTGAATGCTCTAAAGCAAATAATGTGCTGTGCTATGTTTGAGGATTCCAAATTATTTTAATTAAGAGGATTTGTTTCTTACTGTTTTTTAAAACAAAATTTTAAAATGTATCATTTTAATTCAGTGATGCATATTCATGTTCAGATTGGTCACTCACAAGGATCTTGTAAATAAGTTATTTAAAGTTATGAAATCACAAGGCATGAGTGAAATACATTGGAAATGGTCACTTTTGATGTGTATTAAAACTATTTAATTAATGAGCTGGCAGAAGCATCTCTGTACTCAGGAGAAGTATACCTTTCAAACTTATTTGTTTGTGATAATTAACTTGGATATATTAAACTAGATATGTGATTGTTGTTTATCAAAAGGGAAATACTGGCTAGCAATTACAAAAATCATATACCTATCCCAGTTAAGTTCAAATACAGCATACAGGTTTATTTTGCTAATAAACTGTACTGCTGAGCAAAATTATTTTGCTAATAATCTGTACTTCTGAGAGAAATTCACTGTCCCCTGAAGAAGCTATTGTTAACAGAGCACAGTAAAGAACAAAATTAAGGTATTTGCTTTAGGACAGGCATGTTTCACTGGCAAAAACATCTGGCTCATAAAATGAAAAGCAGAATGTCATAGTTCACACATAGTAATAAAACTGAATAATTAAGGCATATTCCATAAATACACACAGTGATGAATGTTAGTATAGGGTAGACAACACAGATGTTTCACCTTGCCTGAGGCAGTATGAGGTGAATACTTCTCTGATAAATGACCAAATATTCTGGCAAAAGTTCATGCAGGATAGGTATATCAACAGCCATCAGCATTAAAGCTAAATAGAATTTCCATGCTCAGATGCATATGCCTCTGAATATCAGATGCTATAGATAAAGGGGATGAATATCAAAAATGAATATACCACAAAAGTGAGAAAGCATTAATCCTCAGACCAATATATAAATTATTTTTAGAAAATATAATTTAATAACTTAAGACAATACTGTTTAAATTAATTGAAAGGTTTGCTGTCATGGTGCCAAAAACATATAAAGTGGAATGTAAGTATACTGTATTCCATTACTATGTGAACATGTTCAAAATTAATTTTTGTTATTCAAACTGCAAGAAAATATTTTCATTATATGCAAAAACAATAGCTGTCTGCACCTACCTCCTACCCTATTTCATATCTAATCTTTCTCATTCAGCTCTTAGCCAAATTGCCAATTGTCATGTAAACAAAGAAACAAATAGGCAGAGGTTAATGTAAGTACAAAATAGTAATACAGAGATTCAATTTTTAAAAGCTATGACCTCTGACCAAATCCTATTAAACATATTCTCCTCATATGTTGCATTTTGGAGTAAAGAGCTAATTACTCGCAAGCAAAAATAATCATTATTTCATTATCAAATAAGGCTTCTTCCTTTTTACAGCCAAACAGCCCATTTTTCCCTGATAAGAGTGTTAATAAAACCAAAACACTAAAAGGAAACATTCAAGTGATGTCAGAAGAAGAGGCTTGTAAACACTGTGGATTATGTTGATAGATTTGATTGTTATACTAGGTGTGTAATGTTTTTCATTACAGCATTCACAGGAAGAATTGCACCATTAATTTAATTTTCATTTGGCTAATCATTAAAATAATTAAGCAAATTTTAAACGCTGCCATTTGAAAAATAAGTCTCAAAATAATGGAAACATATTTTTAAACTAATTGTTTTGTTTTCCAGAGATTCAATCATCTGCTATATTTTTAAAGAATCATTCATACATGAGATTTTCAGTTTTGAATGCTGTTCTATAAAAGAATGATTAATTTTGGTATGAAATGGACAATGTTAAAATAAATATGGGCAGTGTTAAAATAAATTTAAATGTAATTAAGCACCATGTTTTAATGTTTTTTTTCTTTTCCTTTCCTTTCAGAAAACTGCAAAAAGAAACTGTGAAAGTATAACTAGATTTACACAAAATTGTTCTTTGCCAGTAGGCAACAAAGGAAAAGTCCGAATAATATACTTCAAAATGATTCAACAGCTGGCAGTTAACTTATATGATAACAGGTACATTCTTATTGGCTTTGTGATGGTAATTTTTTTACATCCAAAATATCGGTCTTTAAGCTTATTTTAGATCTGAATCACTAATGGACCAGAAAATATAGGCTTTGTAACTCAAGAATATTTAAGTGGCAATATTTCCCAACTTTTGGCTAGCAGGGGGGAATATTCGGAAAGCATCAGAATGTCAGGATCTGTCTTTGTCCTGCTCTGACATGGGATGAAGCCTCCTCAGAGAGACTGGTCAAGCCCTCAGTGGAAAAGAAGCCCTATGATCTCTACTAACTTGAGGGTCCAGACATACCTTTGATCCAGAGGGGAAGACCTCCTGCTCCCCTACACAACAGGATTCAGTTCAAGATCAAGTAGAACGGACAGATTCAGACCCCCTGAGTGGATGCCTATGCGTCCAACCACCCCCACAGTCTCTCCTGATTAGGGGTATGAAGGGGGGAAAATATTTTTTTTCCAGATTCAAGTATAATAAAACCGATTTTTTTCCAGTATTCCCAAATATATCCGAATAACAATACCGGTATTGTATTCATACCCAAAAATATTTGGTATTCTCAAAAAACTTCGGCTCCATTATATCCTATGGGGCCCCTGTAGTCAATGGCAAAAATCTTCTAACAAGTATTCAGGGGGCTGGGGGGAGGGGTTTTTAGGTAGAAACACCAAATTTGTACTATAGCTGCTGGAGCCTCTCCCCAAAAGAACCCCCAAGTTTGGAAAAGATTGGACCAGGGGGTCCAATTCAAGGGGCGTCCAAAGAGGGTACCTCCAATCCTCCATTGTTTCCTACAGAAGGGGATGGGAAAAAGGCAGGCAGCAGTATCTCTCAGAGAATCTCTGCACTGGAAAGTAAGTGAGGTGTGGTGGTGTGAGGGGACATGTTTGCAAGACCAGCAGCAGAACCAGTGCAATGTGCCTGCCCACCAGAACCAGTGCCATTGTGGCAATCAGTGCTCAAACCCAATAGGACTCAGGTCAAATCTGAGGATCTCTGGGGCATGTTTGCAAGGCCAGCAGCAGAACCAGTGCAATCTGCCCTCCCACCAGAACCAGTGCCACTGTAGCAGTCAGTGCCCAAACCCAACAGGACTCAGGTCAAATCTGAGGATCTCTGGGGGCATGTTTACAAGGCCAGCAGCAGAACCAGTACAATGTGCCACACAATCTCCAACCTAGGCTCTCTCAGCAGCAGGAGCAGGAATTAAGTCAGCCAGCCAGAGATCCCTGCTTTTATACTCTCCGGCCATACACAGAAGAATTTCAAAAAATAACAAACTTCTGTGATTGGCCAAAGAGCAGTACGTCAAATCCTATTGGCTAGTGCTCCTCCCCTGGGAAAACAGCAAGCTAGTAGCTGGGCTCCAACAAATGAAGCCAGCAGCAACAACAGTATTGCAAGCTGCAATGGCATTTCCTAATGCATTGCAGTGACTGGCTGTCTGTACGGTTCCTCTTCCCCCTCCCTCCTGGAAAGCAGAGCAAAGGGTGGGAAAGAGACAAAAACGTCAGGAAAAAGGAGCCCTTTAAAGTTTAAAGCCTCCCAGAGCCGTATTTGGTAATGCCAAAAAAGCTGAACCACCCCCACAAATATTTTTGGGTTTTTTCCTGCATTCAGCATTCGGCTGCCGAATCAGCTTAGGGAATCTGATTCAGTATGCCAAATACCCCCAAAATGCCAAAAAGGCATTTTAGGGGTGGGGTGGGGTTGGTTGGTTGGTTCAGCTTTACTGAATGCATACCCCTACTCCTGATACCACAGGAGCAAAGAAAGTAGAGGTGACAGCCAAAGTATCACACCTTCTCCTCACAAATGAAAAGATAACCTGAATCAGATCACATAGTGCTCTATTATACTATACCAACTAGAAAAATGCTGATCACTTCGATCGGAAAATTGCGCATCAAGAAAATGCTTGTAAACTGCAAGGACTCTAATGGGGGGTTGTGTACAGACAAACATCTACAGAACCTCAATCAGTAGGGCCAAGGGCATCCACAGTCAGGAGTGAAGGGCAGATTATGCCCCCACTACAACACTATACTTACATTAATAATCTGTATAACAGTGAATGACAACTATTTACTTAAATGGAAGACAGCAGACTAAGCAGAGATGTACTTGGGAACATGACAAGGTGGAAGTTAAACTTTTCCTTTGGTGACTCCAATGCTGGATAAACATCTGCTCTTATCTACTCAATTCCACCTCTTCATCAGGATATCTCCATCCTGGATTCTGTTCCTTGATCAATCTGAAGTATGACGGAATTTGGATTATAAATGAAACTACAAAATTATTTTAACCTGTCAGTCACAGTTACAGTATGTTTTTCCTTTTCAAATGACAACAGAATACGTATTTGGTTTAACAGCATAAAGTCCACTTCAACTATGATTAAGTTACAGTTATATTTTTATTTATATTTTAACCTGTTACAGGAGCTTTGAAAACACAGTTATTTTAACACTAGTACCATCATTATGCGAGTCAGGAAATCAAAGTACTCAAGAAGTTGCTGCACTGACATTTTGCCTGAAAGACACAGCACTGAAGTGCCCTATGTTTAAAAATGGAAAAGAAGATTCAGAAACAAAACAAAAAGCAGCAAAACAAAACAAGCATTTAGAAGGCAGGCTAAGCATGCAGAACAAGCAAGGGATTAGTTTACATGAAGAAGAGGCAACTTACATGGCTGTTGAGAAGAGAGCTTCTGTGAGTGGACAGACCATCAGACTTTTGTAGTGTCTCAATCGCCATTTCAATCTGATAATAGATGTCATTAAAAAAAGGGCTCAAGACAAGATAGTAATAAAAAGAATGACCACAGAAATTTTGATAGATTGTCTAAAGTTCAAAAGAAAGCTTTAGTTCAAAGATAGCTAGTAATTACAATTTACTGAGGGCATGATCTTCAAAACTTTACACAAGCAAATTTTGCAACAGCTTCCACCAAAAATGAAAGATAAAGTTCCCAGAAAGACCACTTTTCTCTTTACTCCATTAAGGAAAAGAGGACAAGGTTAGGACTTATTGCTAAGCCACAATGCAAACATTAGTACTGAACATCTTAAATCCATACATAACAGAAAAACATCTCAGAAGAAAAGTATATGAAGTTGAAATATTTGACTGAGAGTCAATTGTTTGGCCTTACAACTTTGTTTTATGCGTCTCTTGTGTAGCAGTTATTAAAGTGTCAACTAAATGAGCAGCTTTCATTAAATTCATTTTTAAATTGTTAGTGAACCATCATAATTTATACATTGGGTTAACACCCTTGCCAGAATCCAAAGAAAAATGTTGGTGAACAGGAGTGAACCACACACAAAAGACGTGCTTTCTGTATTTGCTGCACCCATTCCTAACAAATAGCAAAGCCACCGTTCAGTTTAAGAAATGCCTTCTGTCTGATATAATGGAATCTGATGTGTGGAAAACAAGGAAGGCAAAGTCCCAGATGTGTGTGGATCTTTATCCCTAAAACATGCCTCTTCTTTGGATCCTGGACTTGTATAGACATTGTTATATAGATTGCATTTATATTGACAGAGATTTCAAACCTGTTTATAACAAGAATGATAGAAGAAAAGTTACGTTATTTGCAAAATACAAAATGTGAAATATAAAAATAATAGTTTGAGTCCACTGAACTATGAACTAAATGTGTTCATAAAGTGGACACACACCCTTTCTTCTACAGCCCCCTGTGCCTCCTAAAAGCTACTTACTAGTGTCAGGTGCCAGTTGAGAACTAACTAGAATGCGGGGGAGGGAGAGCAGCAGCTGGAAGGTAAATCAGGAGAAATTAACCTCCTCACCTCTTGTGAGAGCTTTTCGACAAAAAAGAGCACTAATCATATTAAAATACATACAGTAAGTCCTTATTGCATTCTGATAGTTAACTACCATCATTCCATTTTACATTGAAAAGGGAACTGATTTCACAGGCAACTTTTGTGCATCAAGAGAAACTGGTTTGGACATTTATGTTATAGTACAATTAGACTATTATTTTCAAGTTTGTTACAACAGAAGGGATATCCACAACACCTGATTTATGATATAGCTAATTCTCCATGTAGATGAGAGCTCATGAAAGACAGGCAGCATCAACAGGAAGACAGATTCATTTGCAGCCTTAAATTCCATGCACCAACATAAAGGATTTTTCAGCCACAGAATTTACTGCATCTGATGAAGATCCCCCCTCCATCTCAATGCACATGGACCATAAATAATAGCTGTTCAAATGCACCCCCAGGAAGGAGAACTGGTGTATACAATTCAACTTAACCTAACTCACAGGGCTGTTGTAGGATAAAGATAGGAAGAGCAGACCCATCTATACCTCCTTGAGCTCCTTGGAGGGAAGATGCATATAAATGTAATGGGGTAGTATGTTTCTGTCAGAACAAAAACTTATGCCTGCAGAGTACAACTTTTGCAGCTCCTCACTCCTCTGGCAGATGAAATGGACTGCAAAATCCTGCTCCTAGGAGATGTATATTGTGCTCATAGGGAAGCACAATTACTGGGGCATTTCAGGCTGTTACAGGAGGGGGGGACTACATAAGTTACACGCAATGAACAGAAGTCCTTGTGCCTGCAGAAACTTGACATGAGATAATAATTTTGGCAGGAAATTCTAATTCTCCCCTACACACACACACACACCAAAAATTGGGTAACATCTGCCTTCTTTGATTGGGACAAAAGGAGATAATTAGGTAAGAAGCACAAAAAAAGTTGACAACCATTCTGCTATTCTTTCCCACCCCTGCCCATTTCCCTAAAGATTTATGATCATTTCTCAATCACTCCTGTCCTTTTTATTAAAATTAATGAATATCAAGGGGCAAAATTGTTATGTGCATGTGAACGGTGTATAAACAACAGTACTTTAAACTCTCGGTGTAAAAAGTCTTATCCAGGACTGGTATTTTTACTGAATGGGGTGGGGCGGGGCCTTGATCTTTGACAGCTAAATACAGGTTTGCATCCAACCAGATTTTTTGCTGCTGAAAACAAGCAAGGTCCCCTTTAACCGCTCCAAAACACTTGCTGGGGATCATGGGACCTGCATGAATAAAAGCCATGTCAGATGGGGGCTGTAGTAAGGAGGGAACCAGAGCAAGACTGAGTGAAAGCCAGCTGGTAGATCCCAACTAATAAAAGGAGAAACGATAATTTGGGTGGGCAAGTAATGCTACAAGAACTGAACCGCATTTTGGATTCCTAACTTTGCTGAATGGGATTTACTGCCAAAGAAAAATGAAAATTGAGTTGTCTACATTATGATACTATAAAGTGATATTATTCCTTTATTTGCATAGAGTATGAACAGGGTGCCTTTTCAATAACACTGGTTAAATGCTAGTTTTTTAAAAATGATGATGACGATGATGATGTATGAATCATCACAGTCAGATATTAGACTGGTACACGGAGTTCTGCTATTTGAGATCTAACAAAGTTCTTGGGAACTGCAGCTGTATCTTCACAGGATCTTTGCTGTTCCAAGCAACTCTGTCTTCTGGAGCTGAACTGGGGTTATTTATTCAAGGCCCAGAATGTCTAGGTGTTTCTTGAAACTTCTAGGCACTGCTCCAACGGTTCCAATGACAAGTGGAATGATGGTCAGCTTCTTCTCCCAGAAGCACCCTAGTTCTATTTGTAGGTCTTGGTATTTTGTGATCTTCTCCTGTTCTTTCTTTTCTATTCTGCTATCTCCTCAGATTACATTGTCAATTATCTAAACCCTATCTACAATTCTGATATCAGGGGTGTTATGCTGCAGGTGTTCGTCTGTCTTTAACTTTTTTTTTTTTACTATTTTGGTAATTTTATTACAGAGTTGTTGTTTTTTATTGTAAAACAAATCATTACAGAAGACACATGGACTCTTAACAACATACCTAGTATCAATATAAGATAAATGGATACTGGATAGGCTTACATTCATAATTAGCTTAGTGGATGCGGCCTATTGTCTGTCCCTATTACCAATAGATTACACTGTCAGCCAAACAATAGCCCTTCATATTTTGGTTTCCTTATTTGTTTCCAGTCAAATTTGTCTATGTTCCTTTTCTCTAAGTCTGTCTTTAACTGCAAGTCCCAAAGAATCTTTGTTTCATCATTTGCCATGATCTTGTCTGGTTTGTGCTCCCATGAATTTCTGGCTGATGGTAAGCCATACTTCTTGCAAAGATTCCAGTGCTACATAGCTGCAACTCTATTGTGACATTCTATATAGTCAGTTCGAGCAATTTTACTGCAGGCACTGACCATGTGGTCAACTGTTTCATCCTTTGTCTTATGAATCTTGTCTTTCATAATATTTATTTTGAGTGTACACTCTTGTGCAGCTAGAATGTATCCTTCCGTTTTTTTCTTCAATTGCCCATTTGGTTCCACTTCCAGATGTTTTCATTATCAACTTTGTTCTCTATGTCCTTCAAATATTGCCCTTGCAAGTGCTTTTCCTGCCAGCTGTCAAAGTGAGTTTCGCAGTCTTTTTGTAAGTTTCTTTGGTTCCTACAACTTTAAATAAGTCTGCCTTCTATACTTCAACTAGAAGCTTCTCTTTGCTTTTCTTGGTGTAGCCATTCAGTGCTCATTCTTCTTCAACTGCTTGCTTAATTTTCAAGAGATCTCTTCCATCTAAATTTCTTGGTAAGTAAAGATGATCAACATCACTTCTAGGATGCAGTGAGTGATGCATCATCATTATCTTGTGAGATTTGCAATCTATTGCTTTTAATTCTACATGTTTCCAATTGATAATACCAGCTGTGTATCTTAGAACTGGGACTACCCACATATTAATTGCCTCTACCATGTTGCCTCCATTTAATTTTGTTCGCAATATCTTTTTAACTCTTTGGGGTAATATTCCTTGGTTGTATTTTTTTTTTAACAAGGGCATATTTGATGTCAGCTTCCAAAATTCCCAAGGGTTTTTTTTTGTTGTTGTTGTTGTTGTTTTCAAACCCCAGTGTTTCAATATTTTTGTTTGGAAGCTTGATTTCTTATTTTTCAACAATCTTTCCTCTATTAAATGTTAATACTGCATACTTGGTCAAGGCCAAATTCTATTGCTATATCTTTGCTAAGTATTCAAACTGTGTTTAGTAAAGAATCTGATGTTGTTGGTGTTGTTATCCTGCAGCTGCTTGAAGGAAAATATCCACACATTTGGACCTGTCTTTAAAAGCTGGTATCCTAGTCTTGTGCTGTTGAGAATTATGGTGAGTGGTATTAGGGCAATGACAAACAGCAGCAGTGATAGGTGAGTCTCCTTGGGAAATTCCTTGTTTGATATTAACTGCTCCAATTCCTTCTCCAGTCACTAACAACCTGGTGTTCCATTTACTCATGCCATTTTTTAATTTAAAAAAATATTTTATTTCATACTCTCATGGCATTTTTGATAAACATTATTACAGTTTTGCTGATGCCTATCATTTTAGGATCCATGTATGTGAGAGTGAATCAAATGCCTTTTTGTAATCAATCCAAGCAACATTCAAGTTTGTTTTCTGCCTTTTAGAAGTTTGCAAGACCATTTTATCAAACAGTGATCTTTAGTGCCTCGGAAGTTTTGGAAAATTCCGTTTTGTTCATCTGGCAAAATTTAATTGAGTTGCAGATATTCTTGAATGAAATTGGTTACAATTCCCATCAGTAGTTTAAAAGTTGTTGGGAGGCAGGTAGAGGGGCAGAAGTTACTTGTCAGTTTGGTGTAGTGGTTAAGTGCATGG